GAGAGAATGCTGGAATGAACTGTGTGGTGGTCAGTGGGCATCGGAGGTACTGATGCAGCTCATGGTTTTCAGTATGTGTGGGTGTAGAAATACATGGAAGTGTGTGCATGCGTGTGTGTGTACGTACATGCACACACACACGCACACACCCGTATTCCCTATCTCCATCCACTCTGAGGTCCTGGGAGCAGCGAAATTCCGATACCAATTTGCACACCTGGGCCCAGATTTCAACTTCTAAATGCATGCCACAAGTTTTGGGATTTACCATTAGTGGATATTAGTGTTCAACTTTTTTGCTGTTACAAATAGCACTGCTATAAATGTTTTTGTTTATGCTTCCATGTACACATGCACAAGAGTTTTCAAGGGAGTTAATGCAAGTATAAATTTACATTCACATCTTTATCAAAACTACAGACATAGCGTGTTTTGATATGACCATTGGTATTCTACCTTAAGCTAGTGACTTTGGGTGTTTTCTGGGACTCTTAATGGTCTTTTGGCCATTTTCTTGTATGTTATACAACTGAATTAGCAATCCATCTATTATAATTTTTACTTCCATCTCATGTGTACTGGTTCCCAAACCAGTGTAAGGCCATGTGCGAGGCGGCAGAGAGAAAGACGACTTTGTTTTCACAGACAGAAAGGCATGCCATGTATATTCCAAAGCTACATAAGAAAAGCAAAAACATTTTCTTCCTTGTATTAGTTATCTGTGGTTGCATACTCCCCAAATTAGCAGCTTAAAGCAACCAACATTTAGTATCTCACACAGTTTCTGAGTGTCAGGTTCTGTGAGCAGCTTCCCTGGACGTTTCTGGAGCTGAGGGTCTCTGATGAGGGTCCAGTGTTGGGGGCCAGGCCGTTGCCTTCAGAAGGAGGACCCACTTGCAAACTCATCTGGCTGTTGGTGAGAGGCCTCGGTCCCACACCACGTAGACCTTGCAGCTGGTCTCTCCCAGAGCACGTGATCTGGGACAAAGGGGCCTGAGGAGGGGACAGGGAACCCTTAATTGCATACAACCAAGATGGAAGCCACAGTGTCTTTTATCTGATTTCAGAAGTGACACACCATCACTTCCTCTGTCATCTGTTAGTCACACAGATCCCACTCTGGTGCCAGGCGGGCCAAGACTATGTAAGGGTGTGACTACCAAGAGGTGGGGTCATTGAGGGCCATCTTGGGGGCCGGCTACTATGCTTCTCAAACCGAACGTACTCTGGTTAATTTTAATCGTTCAGAAGATGCAGAGGTATGTTGTTTTGATCTGATGATTGTTCATTAGAGCTCCAGCAGGGAGAGAAATAAGGGAACCAAGGTCTTGACTTTGAATGAGAGACATGAGTCCAGTGAACCCGCCTGGGAACAAACTGTACTGGGACACCACCTGCGAGATTTCAGTGACACACACCTGGAAGCAACTGGGCCGGGGGGAGAGTGGGGGGCGCAGGGAAGCCTAGAGGCGACTCTGAGCCCTGTCTGCCTTTGGGAGCTGAGACCAAAAATCCCACTGAGGGCATGGTAGAGGCTCGCCTGTCCCCTGTCGGTCTCAACATTCAGAGCTGGGCAGGTCATTGGTAAGTCAGTGATCCCATGGCGGAGGGTCTGTTATGTATTTTTGAGGAAAGGGAGAATTATTCATAGCTGATGGTGTGGGACCAGAGAGCGTTTTCTTGTGCATTAGAACTAGAGAGACTGGTCAGGAGCATCTCTGAGAAAATCAGGCAGGGGAGTTGGTTTCTCCCCTCTCAAATCAGTAATTAAGAAACTTCGAGTTCCTGTGTGTCATATCCTTTGAGCTGAAATGCGAGCCCTGCCCTTTGCCCCCCACCTGCCCCCCAATAAGGGAAATAAACACACCCAGGAAGGACAAGCCTCCCGCCGTGATGCCTATTAGAGTTCACATTCTGACCCTCTCCAGGATAAAGGGTTTCCAGCCAGCTCGCTCCGGGAGCTGAGTTCAGGCATCGTTGTGTGATTGGATCTGAAGCTTTGTTTTGCCCCAAGAAGCTCCCAAGGCGGGGTGGTGTATTTGGTCAGTTCTGTTCACCGGTGAGCAAATAGCAGTGTCCTAGATCTGATTCAACCATGGGCTCACTGTGAAGGGGACAGGTTACTCCATGACAATTCTGCTTGTCTCTGTTCCTCTGCTCTGGGTCACACGTGGTTCCACCTATGTCACAGAGAGAAGTTATCTTCTGCCTATAACTCTTTTCTGTGTGGAAGTCACCAGTCTGATTCCTGTTCCAGTTTTGTAAAGTATGCAAAGGAAAAGGAGGATGTACCTTCATTACAGGGAGAGGTGACCATTGAAAAAAAGGACAATTTTAAAATGCTCCAGAAGTGATACTAAGTGAAATAAGCCAGATACAGAAAGACAGATACTGCATGATCTTTCTTAGACGTGGAATCTAAAACAGTCAAACTCATAAAAACAGAGTAGAGCGTGGGCTGCCAGTGGCGGGGCCATGGGGGACATGGCATGGGAGAGATGTTAGTCAAAGGGTCAAGTAAATTCTGGGGATCTAATGTACAGCGTGGCGACAAAAGTTAACACTGCTGTACTGTGTGCTTGAAATTTGCTAAGAGAGTTGGTCTTAAGTGTTGTCACCATGCAAAAAAATTGTAAGGTGATGGATTTGTTAATTAGCTCAATGTATATCAAAACATCACATTGTACACTTTAAATAAATAAAAATTTTATTTGTCAAGTATACCTCCATAAAGCTGTAAAATAAATAAATGTCAACAGTGTGTTGGGGAGGAAGTAGGAGTAAAGACTTCATTCCATTTCTATATCCCAACAATGCACATACTCTAGCCTTGTTAAATTCAGGTAACTCATGTTGTGCTCCCACTCAGTCTTGAAGAGAATCCAAAGTTGAAAAATATACAATTCCTTACAGTATAGAATCCATGACCCAGAGAAGAGGTATCTAGAGGTAGAAATAATCTGAGGAGAATGATTTTACTGGAATAGTAAGGGCCAACAGAAACAGCTAAGAAATCCTAAGGGAAGAAGAGATGAGACTTTGTGCTGTCTGGGAAGACTTCATGGAAGAAGTGGCATTTGATCTGAGCCTTGAATGAACAGGCAGATTTGAGCAGGGGCAGTGGGAAGGGGAGGAGTTCACATCAGGCAATCAATGCGTGGACCGTCTGGTGAACTCCATGGGCTTAAGTGAGTTTACTAAACTTTATTACCATTAATTTCTGTGTCGGTGAAATGGACATCACCTCTTTCTTCAGAGAAGTTTAGATAATCGTGTGAGATATTCTGTGTTGAAGTATTCTGTGTATTGTTAAGCGTACTAAGCAAATGATAGATGACATTATGTGAAGGAAACCATAGGACCTAAGGTGTAAATACAGGAGACATTACTAAAATGGCTAGAAAGAGTGGGTGAGTGTAGATGTGTGTGTGTGCTCACACACTTCTGTGACAAGATGGTTTTTGAGCATTTTGTTTTGAGAGTTAGTTGGGAGTAGGTTCTGGATGCTGATGCTTTGAATTTTCTGAGAAGGAAGGGCGCCCAATGAGGTCCCTTCTAGCTGGAGGAGCGACTTGAGCTCAGCAATGATTTGGTGCCTTTGGGGACCACAGGGACAAATGCCAAGGCTCAGGTAGCACATCCCATATCCCTTCTCTCGGCGGTGGTTTTACTGTCCACACACATTTATGAAGTGCCTATGGCGTGTTGATACTGACTTAAGCCCAGTGAAACCACAGAATCCACGCTAGTGGAAGGTGAATAAAAAAGCGAAGGGACGTGTGTGATGCTAAGAAACAGAAAGATAAAATGATAGAATCGACCACTTGCGTGGGGGCAGGTTACGACTTTTGATGCAGAGTTGACTGTGAGCAGAACTCATCTCCCTTTTGTTTTCCCTGTGAAAACTTTTAAACTAAAAGGCGTTGAACACGGTTTCGTTTAAAGAGAAGATGCACCTATGTTTCCCAAGTAAAATCGTTTTAGCAATTGTAGATAAGGAACATTTTGGAGTTTTCTTTCTACTGAGTACCTACTGGGTTAGAAACATTGCGTTTTGTTTCTAACTTGGTTCTTGGCATCGTTTCTCAGCTGATCTTAGGTGTTTCAAAACAAAACAGAAAAAACTAAATGAGTGATAATAATTTAAACTACAGTCTAGTGTTCGTAGTTTTCCCTTCTTGAGAAAATTCTCATTTCCCAGGCATTTTTTAAATTATAAGATGAGTTACCTTCTGGCCCTAAATTATTAGAATTCAACATCAACCAAGAAAAGACATGTCTGGCGTGATCACGCATCAGGAATTTGATTTCTCTTTGTAGCAGGTTTCCACGATATGGTTGAATCCATTAGCAGATTAGGGTCGAACAGCACTCCTCACCCAGTTCCAGCGTGCGTGTGTGTGTGTGTGTGTGTGTGTGTGTGTGTGTGTGTGTAGGCTTCCCTGCACCAACAAGCGATTCTCTGACACTAGCAGGGTATCTGGGAATTCAACCCAATTCTAATACTGTCTACCTGGAGGTAGAATTAGATTTCACGGATAAAGAGCTCAATCCCATAAGATCACCCTCCACTTCAGACACCTGTCACAAGTCCACGTCATTACCTGTGCTCGTAATGACTGGCAGTGAACCAGAGGTTCCCGCGATCCCCACCTTGGGTTCAATTAATTTGTTAGCACAGCTTACAGAGCTCAGGAAAACCGTTTACTCACTGGATTATCGATTTACTACAAAGGATATTAAAGTATATGAATCAACACCCAGATGAAGAGATCCATAGAGTGAGGTCCTGAATGAAGGAGTTCTGTCCTCATGGAGCTTGGGCCCAGTATGGTGACACATGGAATTATTCTGGCTCCCCAGTGTGGAAGTCCTCCCCCCAAAAGGACTGAGGAATTGTCCTTTGGGGATTTTATGGAGGCTTTATTATGTAATCACTGGCCATTGATGATTGGTTCAACCTCAGGCCTCTCTCTCCCCCTGCAAATTGAGGTGGTACCGAAAGTTCCAATTGTCACCGCATTAGCATAACAAGAGAGGACATTCCAAGGAGCTGTATGCCAGGAACTGTGGGTGAGAACCAAATATATCTGTGAAATATGTTTTGGTCATCTGAATGACCAAATACATATATTTCTTATAATACACAGTATCGCAAGGGTCAAAACTTGTGGCTTTCTTGAACCATCTATAGTTTTGTCGTTATTTTGACATTGTGCATTTTGATTTATTGTTTTTTTTTCTTTGGCATTGGAGCTTTGTAATTTCCACGCAGACATTTTAAGGCGGGCCACATAGTAGCTAAGCTTTCCCACTGGGCTTCCTTTGTGTGCAGCTTCGGCTCTTTGCATTCTCTGTGTTAACCTCAGTACCTGCTGGGAAATACGGAGAGGCCTTTTTAGGTTTGGAAAAATCTTTTTCCGACTTTAAACACATTAATGCTAGCCATTTTTAATAATCCTTCCCAATGTAATAGTGAAATTTTCTCTAGGTTGATAAAGGGGGGAAAGTGGCACATCTGTGAAAAGTAAAATACAGTTGACCCTTATGCAACAATGCGTTTGAACTTCATGGGTCCGCTTATATGTGAATTTTTTTCAATTAATATCTCTTCACTATTGGGAGCCCATGGCTGCAGAGGGCCAACTGGATGCATTGATCTATGCTATTTTATACAGGGGACTTGAGCATCCTCAGATTTTGATAACCAGAACCAGTCCCATGTGAATACCAAGGGACAGCCTAAGTTTTGGGAGTGTCAAAAGTTATATGTGGATTTTCAACTGCACAGGGGTTAGCACCTCAAACCCCTATGTAATTAAAGGGTCAATAATCATTTGTTTCCTTTTAGTTCAGAATACAGGGACTCTAAATAATTGAGTGATAATCAAGAATCAACAGTACTTGCTTTTCAGTATTTGAAGATTTAAAAAGGAGCAAAGAGTACTTGAATGGACTGTCATTTGACAGATTGAGTTATTGTACTCTGTAGAAAAAGACTTCAGGAAACTAAAGGAATTATCTTGTTTCAAAGGAATTTTTCAAGAGGGAAACATTTTTGCTGGTTTCTGATTAATTAAGGAAAACGTCTTTTAAAAATGGATACAGTATTAAAACATAAACAGTGAACTTGTTCCTTAATTCCACCTCTCCAAAAAATAACTGCTTTTAATGCTTGTCCTTCCTGGCTTTTCTGTTATGTTTATATTCTATAAAAACCTATTCATATTTGATAGGCTGTTCTTAATTTTTCATTCAACAATTTGTTATGGGCATCTTTCTGTTATTACATGTATCAGGTCATGCAAATCTCTCTTCTCTTGGCTCCTAAATAGTATTCGGTTACCTGGATGAAGCATAATTTATTTAACCAGGCACTTACTAATGGATGTTTCATCTCCCCTCCCGTTTTTGCTAGGATAATTTAACCCTTAATGAAATTGCTTCTACATACATCTAAGTGTACTTTATATAGTTTTCTAAGGAAATACCTACAAGTAGACTTACTGGATATTACATTATATATTTTTTAAATATTTTCATTAAAGACAAAAATAAAAGCAAAAAAAGTCTTTAAAAACTGACAAAATCTGAATAAATTCTATACTTGAGTTAAAAATATTGTACCAATATCAGTTTTCTAGTTTTGACAGTGTACTGTGGTTGTGTATGATACCATCATTGGGGGAAGCTGGGCGAAGGGCACATAGGAATTCCCTTCTATTTTTACAACTTCTTATGAGTCTTAAACTATTTCAGAATATTACTAAAAATAGATTACCTGTCCAGGAAGTTTGTATCACCTTAAACTTCCACCAAGAGTATATGAAGCTCTTGACCAGTGGGCCACCATAGGGGGAGTTGTCAGCAGCAGGAGGAAGAAACACTCTCATATGGTCAGGATTTTGGTTACATGAGCTTGAGCAAATCAGTAAATATAAAGCGGTTAATGGGAGCCAGAGAAGGAAGGTACAAATATGGAAGACAGGAAAGGTAGAATAAAATGTGTCAAGTTGCATTTGGAGGTATCAGTGTGAATCTATGGTCTCTAATATATAGAGATAACTAATTATAGAAATGCAGATTTGATTCTATCTGATTTAGAGAAGTGAGCATCTTTTTGTACGTTCACTGGCCATTTTATTTCTTCGTAGTTGAGTTGCATTGCATTTTCCTTTATCCACTTTTCTTTTGAGGCTCCTTTTTTCTTACTGATTTGGAAGAAGTCTTAACAGTATAGATTCTCACTGACGGTGCCTTTATTGGTGGCTATTTTTGCCAAACATTTTATGAAATTGATTTGTCAATCTTTTCCTTTATCATTCTTTGGTCGTGCTCTATTCCATCCTATTTAATTACAATTCCGAGCTCCAGGAATTCAGGAAGGGCTCAGCTGGACAGTTCTTTCCTTCAGCATAGTACCCGGTGTCACTGACTCAGCTCCATTCATCTGGTAGCCAGGCTGGCCTGGAAGGTCCACAGTGACCTCATGCCTGTGTCTGAGGCTTCAGGGCCCCTCCATCTGTCCCCTCTCCCTTTCAACATGGCTGGCTTGTGCTTACCAGTGGGGGAGAATAGAAGTTTGGTTGGCGAGATGCATTAAGACAGGCGGTATGTCAAATGCTGTTCCACTCACGATGAGAGTTTTGAGCTGTGACTTAGCTCCCTTTATTTTCCTCTTTTTCTTCTATTTTGCCCTCTCAGAGCTCTCTCCTTCCTCAAGAGATTATCATCAAGGTCGAGAGAGAAGATGCTGGGTCACTGGCCGTCCCATCCCAGGTGAGTTGGACGCGGCTCTTTACATTGAGAAATGTGCGTGGCTGGTTGGTAGCATAAGCCAAATCGAAGCGAGCTGGGAAGTGAGTCAAAAGTGAGGAATGGAGAGAAGAGTGGACCGCTTTTACGAGAAATCTGCTTATCATGTGAAGGACTGGAGAGATCGTAGCTGCAAGGGAACTGGAGGTTGAGGGTCTTTTTCTTTTTCTTAAAAGGACCGAAAAGATTTGACTATTTAAGTGGTCGTGGGAAGGAGTTAGTGGAGAAAAAGAAGTTAAGAGTCTGGAGAGAGGTGATAAAACTAAAAGGCGGAGTCCTCGATGATTGCCAGGGGAATTCACTCAAACCATGCGTGACTCAACTGGCTCTGGAAGAGGGAAGAACGGGGCTGAGGGAGTTATGCGAAGGTTCAGATTGGTTGCTGTGAACAGTCAGATGAAGTTACCTGTTGGGCATGAGTGTGGGATTGGAATGGAGATGTGCGATAAGGGTGGAGAAGGCTTAGAACAGTAATTTTGGATATATCCAAAATATATCCAAAATATATCCAAAATTACTGTTCTAAGCCTTCTCCACCCTTGTCGCACATCTCCATTCCTGATATATCAGGGGATATATCAGGGCCTCTGGTGGCTCTGAAAAGATCATTCCAAGACAGTGACCACTAACTGATAACTCTCTTCAGCTGTTTTTGTGGGTTTTCCCCCTGGGGCATTTTGTAACCTGCTTTCAGAATGGCAGATTGACATTCAGTTTAGTTTTTGTAGCCAGGTGCATTCAGTGGAAGTCCCATAGGACTAGGTAATATCTGGGAGAAATTTTGAATATATCAAATAGAAAAGTTAAAATGAATGATCCATGGACTCTGAACTGAATAATTAAGGTGGAAAGGATGCAGAAGACACTTACTAGAAAGGAAAAGAATATAGACTGGTAGATAGAAATAGTGGACATTTCAATAGAGTAATAGCCCCAAACCATCATAGGATGAGAAGGGTAAAGGAAGTAATTAAGCAAGTAAAGCAATCTGGTGTTGTAATAAAAAAAATATAATCTGATATAATCAGGTGGGCGGTTCTGTGTGGATGGTTCAAGAGGTGGAGTACTTTATGTTAAATCTAGGGTCTCACCCTGAGAGCGGGGTGCCGAAGAGTTATTCTAGGGTCTGGGGGTTGGGCTAGTCATATGAATTGATGACTGAGAACAGCCTCTGATGTCAGACAACCTTGATGTTGCATCCCAGCCACTGACATTAGTCATATCTGTTAATTTCGCCAGCCTTCTAGTTCTGCATCTGAAGAATGGTGCTACTAATAGATTTTTATCACAGGGACCTTGTGAGAATTAAACGAATGACAACATTTGTTACATGGATAGCACACTGCCTGACGCCACACAGTAAATGCTTTGGTAAAGTCAGGTGTTATATTTTCATCAGAGAACTCTACAAATGTATGCTATAGACAGTGGAAGAAAAAATAATACAAGTTCTCAAATTGGAGGTAGGTATTATAGGTCTTCAGTGGATGGGGAGGTTGTTCAAGAGGTTGGTAGGATGCAGCTCCAAGAAGAGAGGTAAATGGCATGCATTTCAGTGTAACTGGGAGGACTCATACCTTCCCCTTTGATGCCGAGCCCTCTAGGATGGGAGGGTGTGACTGCCCTGAGCCTGTGAGGACTGCAGAGGACGTAGTCCACAGAGGGAGGGTAGGTTTCCATGAATACAGTGATGTAGAGGGACTATCTGATGAGGATGTCGAAGCTGTAGGATTTCATTATTATAGCAGATGAGTTCCTGAGGGCTTAGTTGAAGGGTTTGGGAAGGAATTTGGAGGAGTGGAGAATTTGGGACAAGTGAGAGGAAGAAGAGAATAAATGGGGATAGATGTTTGAAAAACTAGTGTCCATATGTCGAAGAGTGTGTGATAGGTCCTGTGAAATTCAGTTGAGAGGAGAAGGATTAACTCAATTTGGACCAGAATTATTTTGATATATTATAAAGTTTATTGATACTATTGATTTATGTATTGAAATAATTTACCAAATGTACATTTAGTGTCTACTAAACACCAACACTATGCTAAACACTGGTGTTACAGTTGCAAAGTCTAAATACCTTGTACCTGCCTTCACGGATTGTAACCTAGTGACAAAGGACCATTGCGCAAATGATAAGAAAGTGGGGCGAGTCTTACCATAGCAGGCCATGGAACTTTGAGAACAAATAGCCGGGGTGGAGTGGGAAGAGCAGTCACTAACCTAGTCTAGTATTGTTTATTTGATATTTAAACAAGCTTGATATAGAAGGTACCTACATTAAATAGCAAAGAGGCATATTTACTAAAAGGAAGCATGGATTCAAGGTTGAAAACAGTACCGATAAATCCATGTTCACCACAGGTTGTAGTTTGCAAATGACATTTCTCAATCTCATTTTGAGCTAATCATGAAAAACTGAAGAGATTTTGGTTGGAATTGATGGGCCCTAACGTAGAAAAATGCAGGTACAGCAGTCTTTTGCATGGAGTGTCGTGGGACTCATAGACCCTGTGTCCTATTCACGAACCAGAGCTTAATAACACCTGGTCTTTAAGAAGCTTAGTGGCAAGTGGCTTTCGACTTCCCTGGCTTTTGTTGCCTTCGGGTAAGGACAGATCACCTCAGCACTTCTATTTTGGATCAGAATTTCTGCCCAAGAATCTTGGAAACAGGTCTGTGCTGTTTACAGGAGGCAGTCCCCTTTATATGGCAGCAATGACAGTGAGTCTCTCTTAAAGGCCCTACAAGTGTAGCTCTTGAGTGTGGACCACATAGAACTGTCATCTGCAGACTCAGAGTTCAGGATAAAGGTCACATTGAACGTCACTTCATTTTCAGGGTTTTTAGACCTAATAATCCTAATAATAATTGCCAGCCTTTATTTTTTTGTTCAGTGAACTCTGCTAATGGCTTTTCATATATCTTTATAATTTATTCACTCAGCAACCCAATGAGCCGGGCATGATTAAGCCTAGTAAATAGAAATAGAATAAACTCACCATTAAAACCCAGATTGTCAGATTAGATATATTTTTTAAAAATTCAGATTTACGCTCCTTATAGGTAAGAAAACCCTTTTTCCTTCCAAAGGCAGTGCTCTTAATCCATACTTCTTTAAGGTCCACATTTCATCTTGCAGCAAAGTAAAGCCTGTGGGCCAAATCTGGCTTGCTACCAATTTTTGTAAGTAAAATTTATTGCAATAAAGCCATGCCCATTTGTCTATATATTTACTGTGGCTGCTATCTTGCTACAGCAGCAGAGCTGTAGTTGTAATAGACCATATAGTTTCAAAGCCTAAATATTTACATTTTGGCCTTTGACAGAAGAAGTTTACTGGTCCTGGTTTTGTTAGTTTCTTGGGAATTTAAAGGGAATTCCTAAGTAGGGGTTCTATATTCACCAGAGCAAAAATTGGAGTAATTGGAATAAGCATTTTCTTTAAGGTGATCAGGAGAGAAAATTTATATTAGTTCTTACCTGGTGTTCCTCTGTGGGGTTATAAAAATAGGTCCAGCATCCAAAACCCAAAGGCTCACCTAGAAGACACCTGTAACCCTTGACTAGAATCTTTTGAACACTGGCTGTCTCAGGACAATTTCCAGGCCATTGGATTTTCTTTCTTCCATCTGTCAAACTTTTCTTTCTCTATGAACATTGGAAGGAAATGATGCCCAGCTGATCTGATCAGGAATGTGCGTCCTGTTTTAGGAAGGAGTGAACTTCAAAATTGTGACTGTGGACTTCACTCGGGAGGAAGAGCGCACTTTGAAGCATGTTCAGAGGACCCTGGACAGAGGTGTGATCCTGGAGAACCACAAGGACTTGGTATCTTGGGGTAAGAATACGGTCCCCTTTAATGAAGTCTGTATATTGAAATTATTTCTCGTTTCTGTTGACTAAGAGTCATGGAGTTCAAAGATAAGGTTGACTTTGGGCACACATAGATTGTGTTTGTGCTTTTTTTTTCCCTAGCGAAGATTTAATTTTTAATTTGTAGGGTAGAAAAGGTACAGCTTACTGGGTTTGAGCTTGTTCAGTCTTCATGGTCCCTAAAGGCTAAAAACTGGGAACAAATTCTGCAGTAATTGTCTTTTGCCTCCAGCCCAAAC